CATTGACACTTTACTGATTCCAGTGATCCACATTCACATGTTGACACATTAGACAATATCTGAACATCATAGAAAAGTTTAATAAAACATACTGATGGTTCTGCAGCTAAATACCTCCTCACAGCAGATTATTTTATTTTGGCCTCTGGGCCAACACCTCTGCACCGCCAGAAAACACTGCATTAGTGGGCTACACAGGCAAGAGCAGACTCATGAGCCTGTTGGATTATTTCCTTAACGTTTGAGTCCGTTTCATCACCCTAACCTTGCTTCTCATGTCAGACTCATCATTGTTATTAAAGTCTGTGTGGCACCAGCTGGCGGCTCCTTATCGCACAGTTTATTTTCATCAGGCCTGTTTTCATTATGTGTAACCAGCTGTGTGGCCACATAATGCTTCTGCGGTACAGGCTCAGTGAGCACGGCTTTATGACTTTCTGGGTAAATTTCACTGTTCAGTCCACTCAGGAAATCACTTATAAAGTTATATATAGGCCCAGACAATTTCCTGAAATGAGCATTAGCTCATTAGCTCCATGTAGTAGATACGAATAGGGAAATGTACTTTTTCTATGATCATGAGTGATAGTTGGTTTCATGTGCTTGTTTCAGTTTAGCTTGGGTTAACTGACAAATAAACTGACAAACAGTTCGAATTCAGTTTATTTCATGGATTCGTTTGGCAGGTGTGGGTAACAATATGCTTCACGTGAACTAAAACTGTTGGGTTCATGTTTGCTAAGATATCTAGCTGAATGAAAAAGCTAAGTTTAACTTAGTCCTGGTAAAAAGAAAGCACAGCATCATTCCACAGCGAGAAAGTGGAAAACATTCAAGACAGCTGCCAGACTTCTCAGGAGGAAATATTCCAGCAAATTTACCCCAGAGTCAGATCAATTTAAAAAAGACTGAACAAGTGCGACTATGAAGGGTTCCTAGGAGGCTACTTCTTCCCTCTAAAAACAACATGGCAGCATATGTTAAGTTTGCTTTGTTTCTTCATAATATACAGCAGCACATTTGGAGAAAACCAAACACAGCACATCAGCACAAACACCTTACACCAACTGTCAGCACGGTGGTGGAGGGACGATGATTTGGGAAGCTTGCAGTCACTGAGTCGACCATGAAATCCTCTGTACACCAAACTGCTCTAAAGTCACACATGCGGCCGTGTGTCCCGCAGCTAAAGCTTTGCCCAAACTGGGTCATGTAACTAGACGATGATCCCACACACAGCAGCAAATCGCCAACAGATTGGCTGAAGAAGCAAAAAAAAAAATCAAGGTGCTGCAGTGGCCCAAAGTCTAGACCTCAACTCAACTGAAACGCTGTGGTTGGTTTAAGAGAGCTGTGCATGAATGAATGCTGAAAACATGAATGAACAACAGCAGCGCTGTAAAGACAAGTTCCTCCACAATGACGTGAGACACGAGTCGCCCAGAAAACCATTGCTGCAACATTTTGCTCCTAAATTAGGTCCTAAAAGCAACTTAGTAGGGTACATACACTGCTTCTGCAGTTTGGCTTCAATTTTTATCAGTAAATAATGACACGGTGTAATATGTCATATGTTGGTGTTCATCTTAGGTTGTGTTTAAGTCATTTTAAGACCTGATAAGGACCAGATTGATACATGAAACCTAAGAAGTGACAGACACACCTACAGCTACAGAAACTGTACTTTTGATGCTAATAAGAATTTTTGAAAGACTCAACTGGTAATAGAAAAAAATAGATGATCCTACTGAAAAGACATGCTACTGAACATTTGATGGCCCATTTTTACAATTTGATACACCACTGCCAAATAAGACAGACCAGTTACACATAAAATATTCAATATATAACACATTACTGTTGTTCCCACTACAGTGTTGCTGGTTTCTGTTGTGGCTTTCATTTTATGAAATAATGTTTATTATTGGTTTAATGGCGAGCACAGACACCAAACAGTTGCTGAACCTTTTAAAAGGAACAACCGTCAGTGTAAATACGCTCTAAATATTTGTCAGTTTAAAAGGTGACACTTGAACACATTCATGTGTACAGTAGTAGCTCTTTATACTGAAACCTTATTTCAGACTTTAAAAACAAAGTGACACTAAATGTTTTAATAAGAAATCCAGTGAGTTTGGACGCAGACTCATTTTGGAAATCCTTGATTTGACGTCGCCGTAGCTTCTCCTGTCAGTGCTTTTGTGTTTGTTCAGTGCTGAATGTAACCTATTTAACTGTGAGTGTAATAAAGGTATTTTTCATAAACGAGGTGCATTTGGACCTGGTGTGATTCTTTTTTTATGAGTTTATGAATTTTATCTGTAGTAATTCAACATATCAAATCATTGATTGATCCAAATGTCGATAGCATTAATGCCAATGCTGGTATTGGTATCGGGCTGAAACTGGTGCAAAAGGATCAATGAAACTGGGTCTGACAAGTTGCTAGCAGTGTTGCCAACTTAGCGACTTTGTTGCTATATTTAGCGAGTTTTCAGACCCCTTAGCTAAAAAAAGACGTGAAAGCGCGTATCGCTTTTACTCTCAACAAGCAGCGGGTGCTGTAACGCAGTCAGTTCTTCTTTTACTCTTATGCTGTTTTGTGGATCACAATGTTTAAAACTACTTATAAACACACACATACAAAGTAACTCCACCAGAGCGCCTATTTCGGGTCACTTTTGCCGGTCCAAGCCCGGGTAAAGCAGGTTTGGAATTGTGACATTAAAAAAAACAATAATTGCTAAAAGAATTTGTAGTTCTAAATAAACTCTAAATGCATTTAGGACGTTTTTTACTCACTTTATGTCTCTTCCACGATGTTATTTCTCTCTCCAACAATGTAGGTTACAATTAGATTAGCATGACCAATTATGCAAATTAGGTGATGACGTCATTTAGCGACTTTTAGGACAACCAATAGCGATTTTCCTTACTGAGGAGTTGGCAACACTGGTTGCTAGCTAGCGAGCATATCCTGGACGATCGTAGCTCGTACTGAACTTAGAGGACAGTTTGAAAACACACAGAAAGTTGAAAGCTATGATTTGTTGTATTAACTTAAGATTATGGAGAGTAAAAGTCTCACAGTGATTTTGTGATCATTAAAATGTGTTTAGAATTTGCAAACTGATGATGAATCATCCTTTCATACGTGTAAATCATGACGCACTTCATCCTCTAACATGATTTTCCTTTATAGGCTAAAAGAATTGATATCAGCATCGATATCGCCCTGTATGTGATTAGCATCTGATCGATACCAAAACCTGCAGCATTGAACAGCACTTGCAAAAGCCTGCTTTACATCCATCTTTTATGTTGCATGTGGGTAAACACTGTATTCAAACTTGTGAATTTACCCATGCCTCACCCAGTAGCTGTTATTCCTAACCTGCCAGTAACAATAGCAACTAAAGCTTCTGCATTTAATCTCTGCCTGTGAACTAAAATGCTAGCTGGCAGTGGGGATTGTTCCAGTCTCTTCCAGTCAAATGGTATCAGAAGAAATCGTAGTCAGAGGTGCACAGTAGGGGATGTCTGACATTACAATGAGCCTAATCATGCAAAACAATCCCAGTGATTAAATGAATCACGTGTTGTTGACTGAAGGAAAGCTGCACTCTCTTGGCTGGTTTTAATGATTTATTAGAATCAGGACAACCTTTGAGACTGGGTCTGTTTAAAGTGCATGGTGGGTAGGTGTATGAGGGAGGAGTGTGTAGTGATACCACAGCTGGTTGGAGGAGTTTGGAATACTGAATGAACTGGTTGCAGCAGAGGGGAGAGCTCTCACACAGGTAAGGCTTCTTCTATTATAGACTACAGCAATGAGGCCTGAGGTGTTTCTGTTTCACACTGATGCACTTCAGTGTTTTAAAGTGTCACCAGTGCATGTATGTGCTGCTCTTGTCTCCACTTAGAAGTGGTATGTGTCCTCTGGTCATCTTATAATGATACGTAAGCTTCATATGTGAACTCTTTAGGCTTATAATTTTCTTTATTCCTATTTTGAAGCATATTTATCGTTAATTCCTCAAGAAAGTTTCCAATAATTGTTTGTGTTGAGACCTCTTGATATGGACTCAGTGTCTTAACACACAGAAGGTGTCACATGAAACTCATAGTCATTTTTGTTTACATTAAAGTGATCGCTGAGGAAAATAAACATGAGCTACATGGTCACATGACTGACAGGTAATATCATGACATCATAATCCTTGTCTTCTGAGTAGTTTATTAAACTTGGAGCACAGAGCTGTAATTTGCAGGTGTCAGACCAGAGTCTATAGCAAAATCTGTCCTTATGATCATTTGCTAAAATGGGAAATATTGAGAAAGTGTAGGTGTGACACTCAAACGTTGGACTGCTACATTAAACACTCTGATGTCAACGAGCTGAAGTGTAAATTCATTCTGAATCGCCGTAAATAAAGATGAGAATGTCACAGCTTCTCAAAAGTGAAGCTAAAGCATCTTCAGCTCCCTTTGGTGTCTGGCTGCAGTATAGAAAACGCTGCTTTGTGTTCCAGCCACACTATAAAAATAAGATGGGAGGATTGCTGGGTGATTGATTTCTTTTTTTTTTTTTTTTTTAAAGAATTTTGGTAATCACTGCACACGCAGAGGCTGACCGAGGTAACTGCTTCTGATCGCAAGCCGATTGTGCGCATTGCCTGGTGGGAGGAACCTGTCTCTGAACAGAAATCCCTCTCGGACAGATCACTAAGTGCAGACTCACTGCTAACAATCCTGCTCTTTCACTCTGTGACCAGTTGCAAACTATTGCATAAGTGGTGGGCAGCGATCATGAAAGCACCTCTGGCTATTTTTTTTAGAAGTTTTGAAGAGGCAAAAAGGTTTTTATCCTTGTACTTTTTATCTTTTGCCTTCAGAACGGCCTCACAGATTGAACATTCTTCCATACGATGGTGTCATGACGTCCAGGACTGTAACTAAATCTGACCACATTTAAATCTGACCTGTCCCCTGCCATCCAGCAGATCATGGCGGAGTCCAGCCCTCTGACCACTCACGTGCTGAACGCTACCGACGGCGTCCCGGCAGCCAGGATGGCCCTCAGCCTGCACCAACTGGACTCCAAGCTGATGATCTGGGCCATGCTGAGTGTCGGGTAGGCTTTCATACATTCTTACACGTAGCTTAATCTCCTGTTAACGTGTTTATTATTCAAAGCCTGAAGCCTGATAAAATCAAAAACTGAAAAGGCCAGAAATGGGGGGGGGGGGATTTCTTTTGACAACTAAAGAAATCAGGGAACAGCTTTTCTTCCAGGTGAGCTGACGAAAGCCTGCACATAGAACTAATTAATAATTTATTAATTATTAATTTTTAGGACAACAAACCAAGATGGCCGCTGCCCAGGACTCATCAACCAAGAAGCTTTCACCCCTGGCATGTACAAGCTCCGCTTTGAGACGGGTTCATACTGGGAAGGCCTTGGTCAGCCCTCTTTCTACCCCTATGTGGAGGTGGGTCATGAGGTGTCACTATCCTATATCTGAAAGAAATAAACTGGTCTGATTTAGGTATATAGTAACGCACACATGTGAATAGATCCTTATAAGTGTCACGGGTAGGGCAAGATGTAAAGACAACACATTTATTTGGGAACAGAAACAGTTTGGTAGCAGTTAGTTTGTTCACCACAAGGGGTCGCCAAATCTCCTAAAACACACAAATGTCATTATCGACAAATGAGCAACAGGAAAATTTAAATTTTAAAAACATTCTTACTTACTTATACTTACTTCAACAAAGTGTTTGTAATAATGTCACAGCATTATTCACATCTTCATGTCCAATAAACACTGTGACATCAAAGACAGTGGGGTCTACAACAACCAATGTTTTTGCTGAAATCATTTTTGCATCAAACATTAAAAGGCATTTTTCATCTTGCTGTAATCATTTGTGTGTGCGTTTGTGTGTTTCCAGGTTGTGTTCACCATCAGTGAGCCGGAGCAGAGGTTTCACATCCCTCTACTGATGAGTCGCTTCTCCTACAGCACTTACAGAGGAAGCTGAAAGCTGCAGAGAGATGGATTTCTGCTGTTTTATAGATTCATGACTTAGGTTTCTCTTCTTTTATATTTTACTCAGGTGTTATTGTGTGCTACATTTGTTATTTGTTGAGTTTCACTTCATGAGTGTATTTACACCAATCAAAAACAACATTAAAACCTCCATTACAGTCTGCATTATAGGTCACTTGCCACTCTGTACAAATACCTGATGATTCTCTGCGGGTGTCCCTTCTTCTTATTGTGTGACATGAATGAATTTAATTTTTCTTTATCTTTAATATCTCCATGAATAATGTTTAAAACAATAGTACACACACACTTGCTCTATTTATTATTATTCTTTAAGTGTTCCTTTAGTATAGTGAAAAGTCCATTTCTATTAGGCAATAATTTGAAATTATTTTAAAAGAAGGCAAACAAAACATTTGCTGGCTTTAGTTTTTTCTTTGTATTTGCTGCTTTTCTTAAAATCAGTGGCTAAAGAGCAATATTTGTCTCTTTTTCTAATATTTAATATACCAAACAGTAACTTATTAACACTTTGAATAACAAGATCAATTAATAGTTAGTTGCAACTTAAACTTAACACTTTTTCAAATTAACAGAAGCACAGCTTTTTGCTTAAAGTGACCAAACATTTTATTTAGATTGATTTAAAATTAAACAAAACAAAAGTCTAAGACAACTTGAAAAATGGCAAATAAATCTTATTTTGCATGGCTGGCTCTTAACAAGGTTCCAAGTAGAGCTTCAACATGCAATAAGAAGAAATGGAGAGAGACAAAACATTTTTTGAGCCTGCAATTTATTGAAAACAATGCTTAAACTGGAACAGGCTGTTTTACACCTGATCAAAAGTTTAGGACCACACCACCAAAAAAAGCCTGTAAACGGGTTCCAAACATGAACTCAGTAATAAGTAGCTCCACTGTTATTGTTGATCACTTCAATAATTCATTGCGGGATGCTTGTTGCAAGCATTTCCATGAGGTGATTGGGAACATTTTTCCAAGTGGTGATGACGGCCACACGAAGGGCATCTACTGTCTGGAACTGTTGTCCATTTTTGTGAACTTCCCTTGCCATCCTGCCCCAAAGGTTCTCAACTGTATTTAGATCAGGGGAACAAGCAGGATGGTCCAAAACAGTGATGTAACAGTGTCCCTTGTTCTGCAGGCATTGTGTACTGGCGCATTGTCCTGTTTAAAAACTCAATCGTTACCACACAGACGAGGGCCCTCAGTCATGAGGGATGGTCTCTGCAACATCTGGACATACCCAGCGGCCGTTTGACTCCCCTGCATCTCCTGAAGCTCCATTGTTCCACTGAAAGTAAAAGCACCCCAGACCACTATGGTGCCCCCTCCACCGCTGCGCGTAGAAAACATCTGCCATCAGGACCATCAAGGTTAAATTTCTTCTTATCAGTGAATATCAGTGAATTCAGTGAATAAAACTGACTGTACCCTCAAACACACAATAATGACATGGACTGAACCACCACTCACAACCACTAGCACTTTATATAGCCTCTGTAGAATTATCCACACCCTCACTTATCTTAACTGCACTACTGTATAGCTCTGTAATAATCATTCTGTACATACGATAATTTTTAACCCTACAACTGTTTACAACTTGCACAGTTCCCATTTCTGTATAACTGTATATCTCAGATTCTGTGGTTATTTATTTCATATTCTGTATAGTTTTTCATATTTATAGCCTGTACATAGCTTGTACTCACTACAGCCTGTACATACTTATAGTTATAGAATATTCACAACATACTTCATACCGTGTACATTATAACATACCATAATAGGCCCATTTCTGTAATATACTCACATATCTATATTATTGCTAATATTTATTGTGATATATCTATATCACTAAAGCACTTCTGGATGGATGCAAACTGCATTTCGTTGCCCTGTACCTGTGCATGTGCAATGACAATAAAGTTGAATTCTATTCTATTCTATTCCACCTTTCAGTGTCCCATGTTTGGTGCTCTCTTGCAAAGTCCAAACGTGGCGTTCAAGGAGACGACACCTTTGAAGACATTTTTGTTTTTGAAGCCCTTCAGTCTCAGATGCCGTCTGGTGGTTATGGGGATGCGGTCAGCATCAGTAACGGCCTTAATTTGGATCGAGGATCATCCACTGTCTTCACGGACAGCCAATTGGATCCTCCGGCTCAGTGCTGGTGAACTTTTGGGTCTTCCACTTGATTTTTTTTGTTCCATAACCCTCAGGATCATTTAAGAAATTGCAAATGACTGTCTTACTGCGTCCCACCTCAGCAGCTATAGCGCGCTGCAAAAGACCCCGCTTATGCAGTTCAACAAGCCGACCACATTCAAAAAGGGAATTTTTTTCTCCTTTGCCATCAGTCATGGCTCATGACAGTGTGACTACCTGACACAAAATGACCATGAATCCACATTTTGGCTTTTTAAAGGCATGTGGTCCTAAACCTTTGATCGGGACTGTATTAATGAATGTCATGAGGAAAGAAGCGAAGTCATTGCATGTTTTGGTAACAGCACTCGAGCCAGGCTTTCTCTCTAAGCCAATAAGTGACAGGCTGTGCTATGAGGACCTGTATGATGCCTGATTGTAATAAATTTATATTTAACACAAATAAATGTGATTTTGTTGAATAAATTCAAAATAGTAATATTGCTGTAATACATTTGAAAATGAGGAATATGACTATTTCGTTATTGCTAAATACATTTCCTTCAGTAACAATTTCTGACAGGCATTTTATGGGAAGCCTCAAGGGCCTTTACATCATCCTCCGGTTGACATCTCACGCTGTTACTTAATAACACTTGCAGGCGTTACATGAAGGATCCCAGGGACAGAAGTAAGACCAACTAAATAAAAAAAGTTGTGTTTTGTGGCCTGAAAATCTGGGTACGCGGCACAGCGGGGATGTCTCGGCTACTGAGGCTTCTCTCGGCGGCCGCTCTGCCTTTCTGCCGTGCTGGAGGAGCCCGGGCCAGGCTGTCAGCTGTGACCGCAGGACAGCTCTTCAGAGCCGGATACAGAAACTCCACCGGCCCGGTAAGTGACGGAAGGTGTCTGCGAAAGAGTTTTTAAATTTTTTTTTTTTTTTTACAGAAATATAAAAATCCACCAGAAACTTAGTCAACGCAAGTTTCCTTTCTGTGTGTTTTAGAAATTTAATTAACTAAATAAACTCGAGGCACGAGTAGCTACTAGCGAGGACGACTGCCTGCCAAGTTTAGTTGAAACAATTGTTTAAAGTCTTTTTTTGCTTAAAAGCAAATTAGTTCAAGCTTTCATCGTGAAGTCATATTTATCTTATACTTGTACCTTTTTTGTTAGCCCCTGAGAAAATCCATTTCAGCAGCTAAACGTCATATGAACTCAATGTCTTCTAATTGGCCAACTTCTGGAAGCTTGTGGAGGGGCAACAATCAGCGCTTGTGAGCTCAATTGCCTTACTATGCAGGAGAGAGTAAAGAATAGATAAGAAAAACCTCATGAGTTTAACATTTTATTCGCTCACGGGCACTTCATTCGGTACATCTTGCTGCCACTGGGTTAGACCTCCCGGGTGAGCTTAAGAAATTAGCATGAGATGGTTTGAGTTTCGTGACGTGGTGCATTTTCCTGCTTGGAAACAGCCGTGAGAAGATGAGTACACGGTGGCCATAAAGCGATGATATGGTCAGCAGCAATACTCAGGCAAAGTTGTTAAGTTGGTACCCAAAGTCTGCCAACAACATATTCTCCACTCTGTTACTCTACCAGCAGCCTGAGTCATTGATACAAGTGAGGATAGATCCAAGCTTTCATGTTGTTTGAATTAGATTCTGGCCCTACTGTCTGAATGTCACAGCAGAAACCGTGGCTCATCGGGCCAGCCAACATTTTTGTAGTCTTCTGTTATCCAGTTTTGGTGAGCCTGTGTGAATTAAATGGTCTGATTCTTATATACTTATTTCTACTCTACTGGAGTACTCAAAGCAACTATATATACAACATGTCTCATTCACACAAGCACTTCTAAACTCAAGTGCAAACTAATAAACATTCACACACATTCACACTCTGATGAACGAATCTGAGGGCAACTTGGAGTTAGTATCTTTCCCAAGGGTATTTGGCAAGCAGACTGAAGCCAAGGATCGAACCACCAACCTTCCAATCAGAAGGTGATCTGCTCTACCACTTAAGCCACCCCGTAAATCCCGAATTACAGCCCTATTGTTAGACGACAGGAGTGGCATCTGGTGTGGTCTTCTGTTGCCGCGGCTTTAACATGTTGTGCGTTCAGAGATGCCCTTCTGCATACTGAATGTTGGTTGTAAAAAGTGGTTATTTGAGTTACTGTTACATTTTCTCCCCAAGAACCAGGAATGTATTAGTTAGCTATAATATATAATACAAATATATAGTATATGTCCTTGACTCACTCCCTAATGAGTCAAGGATGGACCCACTGAATGAATGTGACCTCCACTATTAGAGGTTTATAGTTGCTAAAAGCCATTCTTCAGCAGGTTGTTGCTTGTAGATGGTGTCCAGTGTACCAGCGGTGACTGTGTGGTCTTTTTCAGAACATAACTCGGACTCCAGCTAACTTCCTGTCCTGTCGCAGATTCCAGTTAGCTCAGCGACGACTCTACACCACAGAGCCCAAAGGTGGGATCTGCTTTTCTGTTTTTCTCAAACATCAATAACTATTTAAAAAAACTCACAAAGTTTGTTTCATTTGATATTATTGTGAATAGTTATTCACAAATTTTTATTACCAAGAATGTGAAAAACAAAACTAAATGGCTAAATACACCTGTGGTATAACACATTTTAATTTAGACATTTCAAATGCTGATGTTCAATATGAGGAATCAGCTTCTCGAGACTCACGCAAACCTGTGTCAGCCCTGACAGGTTGATGACCTGTACAGGTGTACCCTGCCTCTTGCCTTATGACAGCTGGAATCAACTCCAGCACCCCCTGCTGGTCATTTTCCTTTCCAAGGCCAAAATGTGTTTGGTGGCCATCAGAATTTTTTTTTTTTTTTTAAAATATGAAAAACCCTAAAAATTTACCCGAGTAGCGTTCTCGACTTGAGCCAGTGAGCAGGATCCGGGATGGGGCTGTAACTTCAGATCAAATGCATGTCAAACTGAAATAAGTAATCCAGTTTACAAAAGAATATCCTGATATTTCATGGATAAAAACTGAGAAACTAGAAAAGGAACTGTAGCTAAAATGACATTTCTGAATTTCAGATGGAAAAAAAGGACCAACTGGAGGAGGAGGAGGGAAGAGAGGAGGAGGAAAGGACTGGTGGAGGCGAATGCAGAAGGTATGTCGTAAACATTGAAATAACCATTCAGTTTTTATTTTACAAAATAAGTGTAACAGAATTATCAATACAGCCTCAGTTTTTCAATATATTTATTTTACGTAACGGGCGAGCAGCCCAACGCTGTTCTTACTCATCTCTTATTTCTTGCAGCTGACCAATTTTTCCTCAAATCAGCATCATCCTTTCCTCTTTCATCAGCGTGCCATCGCATTAACAAATAATAACCTGCAGGTAACTTTCCTCCTCTGCCTGTGTTGGTCTGCAGGGCGACTTCCCCTGGGATGAGAAGGATTTCCGTTACGTGGCGATCACGGTGGCTGGACTGAGCTCGGCTCTGCTGTATTTCTACTTCAGAGACACCGGCAGAGAGATCAGCTGGAAGGACTTTGTCCACCGCTACCTGGGCAGAGGCAAGGTGAGGATGTTTGCTCCCAGACTGCAGGGATATTTAGTCCTGATTGTAGTGGTTGCTGACAGATGACATGGTACCAGTCAGAGTGGCTCTAACCAGCCACCAACATGAAGGAAGCTGTTTTTACTCCCGTCCCTTTAACCAAGTGTTCACACAGTGCCCACAGATTGCAAAAATAGCAAAACACACAGACAACATTACATTTCAGTAAACACTGGCCCGTTCAATCCAAAGCAGAGTTTAAGTTAAGAGTCAAGTTGAATTTGGTGAACCCCTATTATCAGAGTACATCTTTGTAAGGTGTCTCGGCGCTCAAACTCAAACATTGCCTCCAATCCTCTGTCTGTGTGATGAAATGAAAAGGTGGCTTAATATCAGAAATATTATAATTCTGATCATTTATCAGTACTGACAGTTGTGAGACTTGGAGGTGTAAGCATCACAGCAGATGCCTTTGTGACAAAGTAACTGAGAATAAAACGCAGAAAAACAAGGAGATTTTCCTGGCTGGGCTTTTTATAGCAGATGACCTTAAAAATATTCTGCAATTTTGCATAATTTTAGTGTTGAACAGCAGAAATTAGGCTTTTTTGTCCGAGGTCATTTGAGTAAAAAAAAAGAAAGAAAGACAGCGGCCGACAGCGCTGTAAACAACGGCAGACTGGTGGGTAATAAGCAAGTGAATAATGCAGAAAACAGAGATTTGAGACGGGAAACTGTTCTTGAAGTAAAGAGAGAGAGAGAGAGCTGTGCATGAATTGTGATTTTTATCGTGGTGGGAGCAAAACAGCAAAGTAAGAGGGAATTAATGATGACCTTTATCAAATGTGAAGCGTAGTTTTGATCTTCTTTTGCTGCTGGTTCACTGAATTTTGGTTGGAGAGAGACAAAACCTGCAGCTCAGAATCGAGCGCAAAAAAGACATAAACACAAAGCGCGGACCCAACGCATCAGAATCAGTGAGCTGTCGGCTTTCAGCCACGACGGCGTGTCCGTCTACGGGTTGTCGGGTGAGAAAGCCGAGAAAAAGAAAGCGTATTCTGATGCGTCGGGTCCGCTCTGTGTCTACGTCTTTGTGTGGAATCCGTGTACCTGCTCTCATTTACTGTTTGGTAGTTGCTGAAATAGTTTTGTGAGCTTTAACCTGAGTTTCTGGCAAAATACATTTATATTTAAAAGTTGATTCAGGGTTTAATGAATCGATATTGCTTTATTCAAGCTACTGACCTCTGCCTGCACTTTCAAACGTGACCACACGGCACGGAGAGTTTCAGAGTTCTTTTTTGACCAAGGTTTTGTTTTTTTTTGTCACACCATTGAAAAATGTGGTCACATTTGCGACCAAATTGGTCGCACTCTGGAGCCCTGTACTGATGTTCCTGCAGGTTAACAGTTTCATGCTCTTTCCAGGTGGATCGACTGGAGGTCGTCAACAAGCAGTACGTCAGAGTCATTCTGGTGCCGGGAGCCGACACTGATGCGGTAAGGCAAAGCAAACCAATGCTCAAGGCAAATTTATTTGTATAGCACAATTCAACACCAAGGTGATTCAAAGTGCTTTACAGAGACATTAGAAACAAAAACAAATAAAAAGTATGATTTAAAATTGATTAAAACAAGCAAACTAACTAACTAAACACACACATTCATTCACACCCGTTCGCGCGATCTGAACCCTTATCGTAAGGGGAGCTACCAGTCCTTCTGTGGACGAGCTACTTTCTATTTTAAATTCCCTATGTATGTATGTAAAATCAAAACAGATAAAATCAGAACAGTAGATAAAATCAGTAGTTAATGTAAGTTTTGAAATTTAAGCTTAAAAGTGTGGATTTGGTGCTTTATTCAAATGCAGCTGAGAACAGGTGAGTCTTCAACCTGGATTTAAATAAACTGAGTGTTTCAGCTGATCTG